TAGAGTTTATCACCGCGCCTGTCACTATACGACTCTCGAATGTTGTTTCGATCTCGCGCCATCGAAGTCCGTAACCGGCGCCCACATGCACGAATCTTCCACGCACCGAATCCTTCAAACTCTCGAGCCTCGCGATCCTCGCCACCACAGATTGTCTGTGTCCAACGGCGAGGCGCGGACGCTTGGTACGACTCTCCTCTTCTATAAATTTTATTAGTTCGTCGCATCTTTGTTCCCATGCGACGTACTCTTTTCTAGTATTCAGCTGGACCGCTTCCTTTATCAAATCGCTCTCCATGTTATCGGTTGCATTAACTAATGACGCGGTGTGTCTAAATCTCCTCATTTTATACCATTTACTTGGTCACGTGATATTTGTATCATATTACATTGATAATGATGTCACCATTCGAACATGTTGTGACATGTCGAATGTTCGTGAAAAATCTAGTCACGTGACATGTACACTATTTGGCAACGTTGCATTTATATTAAATCGCATCGATAATGTCACCGCCAAACATGTTGTGACATGTTGTGACATGTCGTGGCATGTCCTTGAAAAATCTTTGATTACGATAAATCTCATAAAGCCATCGACGCTTGCGAAATTACAAACGTAGAATTTTTGATGTATTGAATCACATTGATGTTATCGCGAGACGCGTTACATAACAAATACGATGTGGCAAACACCTAGCGTAAAATTTATGATAAAAATTCGAATATTAAATGTAAATTATTAGTTACACTATGGATGATAATATATAGTATATGCAAAATAAATGGAATATTTAAACTGTATGTCTCAGCGTTTGAAATTATTCATTCCTTCTTTGCGATATTTACTCCTTCTTTTCCTTCCTACTTTCTTCGTGGTATTATATTACATGTGCCGACAGCATCATCGCGATCGATGATATCATCGCGTCTGATAATATCGCTGCTCTCGCTTTAAAAGCATCATTAGAATATAATCGAGTAAGTACAATATAAATAAAAAATTATATATGTATATGTATATGTATATATTTTGCGTATAAGAATAAGTAAAAGGAGTCACATAAGAAGCAGCAATGAGAGAAAAGATCGTAAGTATAAGATGCACATGAGTCGCTACAGGCGGCATAACGCATCGAGAAAAAGATGGTAAACATCGTTATCGATGCTTCTGGCCTTGAAAGAAAGAACGATTTCATCAGCACGATTTCATCATCTACCCCTCATTGACAGCGCTTCGTTTAGCAGCCGGATGATGAGTCACCGATCTCCTAGACAAAATATCTTGTCCGCGTTATAGTACCGCGATGCATTTTGGGTGTGCGCGGGGTTCGCGGTTACGGCCCGCAACAAATTTTGGGGTGGGTGCGGGGTCCGCGGCGACGGCAGCGGCGGCGCTGCTTAATATCTCAATGCGTACAATGGTAACATTTGATAGCCGGATGCTCTATGCACAACAAAGGCAACTGCCTCAGAACTTATCATGTCGATCTTCTCGCGGCAACACTTTTTGATTGACTTTGTTTTTATATACACCGACTGCCATAGATAAATCCTGGGCGGTCTCGCTACAGCGAAGAATGCTTTTCAGCGTCAGTCTTGTGGATGCATTAGTTATATTTAAACCGATATATAATTAACGATATGTTGTATTTAACGGTCCGTTTAATTTCTGTGGCTTCTCTCTCTCTCTTTTCTTCTCTCTCTCTCTCTCTCTCTCTCTCTCTCTGAACTAGCGTACACTTTTGAAACTTGAAGTGAGATAAGTATATGTTTGATATTTGTTGAAAGTGAGAAAGAGAGTGCTAGTGCAGTCTAGTGCAGGAACATACCATAAAACGATGTACGATTAACGGTGTTGTATTTTAAACGTTTAAAAATGAAATTCAGAGAGCCCTATAATTTTGAACAAAACGATGAGGAGGGGGAGGATGATGTCCCTCTCATGGAGGCTGGCGAAAATATCTTTGTCGGTGAGGATGCTCCCACCGAAAAGGAGAAGGAAGTCGAGCATGAGCTCGACGAGAGCCTCTCGATTATTAATTTCGCATCTTGTACGAGTGACGGATTATTCATGCTCGACTTCCTCGATTTATCTGATGAGGAGGAATTATTACAATTTCTTGTAATATACTTTGCTGCTGTGGCAGCAGAGGCTGATGAGGAGGTAAAGGCGGCACAGATTGCCGCTTGGGCTGAAGGAACTGCGTGAATGGATTGATCAAGGAGAGGACGATTAGGTGGTGGAGGTTGCGGCTGCGGTGGAGGTAGCGGGGGATGGGGATATCAGGTGAGCATTTTGCATTTTTACTTCTTTTCTCTACGCAACATTTTTACTTCTCTACGTGCTCTTTCCCTTACCCCCCCCCCCCCTCCCCTCCAACAAGTACTCTCGCGACCGCGATGCCAGCCCCGCCTGGTGGCAGCCTAGCGGCTGTATCTTGTATCCAGAACCGCTATAGTATAACTACTGTTTGTCATATCAGTAATTAGAGCAAGTTCACAAATTGAATCTAAATTTTCAAAGAAAAACTGAAATTCATCACATTTTGTTGGAAAATGTTCTTGCAAGAAAAGGAAAATCTCTTTTCTTATTGCAAAGAATTTTTCTAAACATTTTCCTGCACTGAGCCATCGAATTTCACAATATAGAGGTACATCTTTATAAAGTACGTTATGCTCCTCGAGAGAGTGTTGAAACTTCCGATGAGAAAGGAACTTATGACCGCCTTTAATCATATTTATAATTTTTGTAACCATTTGCATTGCGGTACATAATTTCACAACTTTCCCACATAGTGATGCATTCAAGCGAGACGAGACGAGAAAATATCGATACCGAGATTTGGTCTCGACAAAAACAAATGATTGATACGATTTTCTCATCTCGATGGGCCGTTATTCTGGCTGTCCGAGATTCTCGAATTTTATCGCGAGACATTCAAGAATATCGACTATCTCGTTTCATTTTCGTTTGTAAAAGGCGAAAATGGAAGTAAATTCGCAATTTGCAAATTGTGTACGTCAGACAAATGACGGTGGTAATGTTTATTTCTCATTCCGATATTTCTCCGATTTTTTCGAGACGAGACCGAGACGAAAAAAACAATTGATAAGGTAGAAGTACCGGTTTTGGACACCTTAAGTTTACCATCTTCAAACGTTTTGGATTCAGACAATTATTACTACAGAGACCTTTTACTTATATATTTTCCAATTAGAGGGATATAATTTTATTTTCCTTATCTTAAAAACGTTAAAATAACTCTGATAAAATAAAAAACAGTCAATAAAGTAATTAAGAGCATTTTCACCGGTTTTGGTCATGCTTGCACCCGTTTTGGCTTTCTACTGTTCCACTTGTGGTCATGTATTCCGAATCAGCTTTTCAGATATAGATACTTACCTAATACACAGGCGCAAAATGTTTAATAAGTATAAATAATTTTTTTAATAGATCCAACAGATTTTATTTAAATAAAAATATATTTAGCCATTCTTTTGACAATAATTTTGACAACATCACAAACATAAAAATATTTATTCATAACTCTTTTTTATTATTTATTTGTCTTGTGCTATGTTCATTCCGGATTTCTTCTTCGTCGTTTTTCTTGTCGTAATAGTTTTCGAAGACCCCTTTTTTGGAATGGATTTCTTTGTTTCCTTTATCGTACATTGTGTTTTCAATGGTTTATCGGTTTGCAAAGCTTCGTCTTGAATTTCTACACCTGTCTCATTTATTTTCTTTGTTACTCTGCATTTCTTGTTATTTAATTTCTCAAGTTTGATTCGTTTTTCGTTTTCTTTGGTTGCTACTATTTCCATCCACTTATCAGATGTAATGACATGCGGCAGTTTCTCATTTCTATATTGTCTTTTTTTAGAAGGCTTTGTGTCAGGATAGATTATATATATAAAATTTTTGATTAACTTTCATCCAGTGACTTATTCATTATTATAATCGAGTCTGTGGGCATTGGCCGTTGCAGCTTTTTTGTTCAGAAGATGATTCAAGAAGAATAGGATTAAACACATCTGTTGGTCTACTTGTTTCCTGCGGAATAGTTATCGACGTAGTTGAAATAGCGTTAATTGTGTCGTGATCTGTATTGTTTTTTTTGGTTTTCATCAATCCTATCATTAAAAAAGACAATATGTTCTTTAACTCCGCCGATGACTGAAGTGATTTCCAAACCTATATACGAATAAATCGTAAATCCATTATTTGTTGAAAAATTGTTAAAAATACAATTTCCTGAAAACAATGAACTTTATAAGTCTATGTTTTACTCTTTTCAAATTCAAATATTATCTTTAAATTTTCCCTAGCAGAAATTTTACAGAAATACGTATTATTACCATCTGAAGCGGTCTGAAATTCTGGAAAATCAAATTCTAACGTATCTAAGTTAGTTTGAAAGTTGGCGTTATGTGCGCCGTCGTCTTGCAAATTTGAAATCTCTTGAAGAACTTGTTGGTTCGACTAATTATACATTTGAAACCACATGTCATAGAGACCTGCGAATTGCACGTCACTAATCCAAGGAAAATTAGTGGTAAACGTGTCTTCGAATTGCTCCAAAACGTTCGTAGGAATTTTACTTTCCAGATGTTGTAAATGCAAAAGTGCCTTGTGTGTGAGTATTGTGTCCTCTACAATATTTTCCTTTTTATTTGTTACAACTGGACTCGTGACTTATTTCTGTTGTACACATTTATTATAATTTACTGCGTTTGGGTTGAAAGGTTACAAACCACAAGTTCGAGACTCAGCTTTAATAGTTTCAACAAAATTCTCCTTATTAATTATTTGTGACAGTGCAAGAGGAACCTCGAATTTCTGGACATCATTACCGTTATGTTGCAGTTTCACAAATTTAACAAACTTTTTCCACTACTGTTTAAGAACAGCAAAGAAGGCGACATCGAGTGGCTGCATCATGTGCGTGATATTTGGAGGTAGACAACAAATAATATTATTTTCTCTGCAAAAATTACTAAGGTGAGAGATGTGATACATGACCATCCAAAAAGACTATGACGGGAAGAGGGATTTTCTGTTCTAATAGATATGGGTGAAATATGTTTGCAATGTATCCGTAGAACGATGCACTATCCATCCAACCGTTTTCGATTTTTCCTAGTCCCCACCCTGGAGGAACAGCTTCTATGCAGTTTTTAGTCAAGCGTACGTACTTGTAGAGAGTCAAAGGTGGTGCAATTTCTCCTTCGGCGTTAATGACAAATAATGTCGTGATTGCTTCTTTATCGCTTGCAGAAAACACATCATACGAGGCTTTTCCCTTTTTCGCTAGAATGATTCCACCTTTGGGGCGAAAGAATGAAGTTTCATCCATGTTAAATATTCGACGAGGATGCTGTAACACTTGTATATTAATTCCAACCAGAGTTTCAGTATCTGCAAACCAGTTGCGAATAGAATTTTCCGTGATAGTCGCTCGCACCTTGCTTAAATATTCGGCTTTCTTCTGTGATAAATGTGGATGTCTTCTCATGAATGACTCAAACCATTCTCTTCCAGGGAGATTATTTTTAAAAGGAGTTAATAAATTTTCAGCATCGACCAATTGTTTTACTGAGTAAAGTAAACATATTTTTTCGATTGGAAAGCCCACTCGACTTGTTTCAATCACCCACGTAGATAACTTTTCTTCGATGTAAGAGCCAAGGACTGGAGGAGGACCCATGTGTCTCGATGTTTCTAGCGTAGAGTTTTTAATTTTCCGTTTCAATGTTGTACGTAGAACATCAAAAGTTTTACTTGCCAGTGAAATAGAAGTTCCACTGCGAATAGCATTCAAAGCGTTTCGGACTTGATGCAGAGAATACTTAAAAAATGTTCTTCTTCCTGTTGTCTCTTTTTTCTTTTTAATTGATTTCTTTGGTGGCGGCATTGTAGCCTACAAACGCAAACATATTTTAATTACATATTTTAATTACCCCTGTAATTATTTGACAAATAGACACCAGTTTTAATAGGATGGCCAAAACTGAGACAAAGGGATAATTTAACGTATTGGTTTTGGCCATCGTTATTAATACGAATAATTGTTGATATGTTTACTTTTGAACGTATTGAACCTTTTACAGAAACGTTATTTAATTGATATGTGTAAATGTTCAGTAGTAAATATAGAATTCATAACCTAAAAATACTGCACAATGTACCTCAATGTCTTCTTGGCTGACGTAACGATTGAAGATTTGGTTGAATATTAGTATCAATTTTTCATTCATCGTGAAATATTTTATTGAAACGTGAAGAAATGCACGTTATTTCAATTTAAAATGTTGCTAAAATAGACAAAGTTTCGACAAATCACTATTTGGTATCGTCGTTGATCATATGTAGACACGAAAAATCCCTGAAAATATTTGTAGTGGCCAAAACAGGTACTTCTACCCTATATGATAATCTCGGAAACGATATTTTTAATGATACGAGAAATTCCGAGACAATATTCGAGATTCTCGTATCGAAATGCATCACTATTCCCACATAACGCTTCTTGATGGATGATACAACGAATAACAGGAAATTTTAAGCCTCGCTGCTTCAATTGACCGAAAAATTCATTTTTCGAACATGTCATTGTTTTTGCACCGTCAGTTACGATAGCCGAACAGATTTCTAAAAAACTATATCAAATTTCTGAAGAGTTTGGTTAACAGCTTCAAAAATATCAATTCCCGTTGTCGTATTATGTAATGGGACAAAATCTTCTCGACGTGTGAGAAATCGTTTTGTACGAGCAAAAATACTCAATTGACATGTGGTTGAAGTTTGGAGCGATCTTGGAGCGAAAAGTAAAGGTGACTACACATAGAAATAACAGACAATAGAAAATCACGCATATATACATGTGTCCAAAAATTTGCAATGTACGTCCAGTTTCAAACGAAGATCGCGGTCCGCTCGAAAATTTCCTACGCTTGCCCCAGGGATTGGAACCAAAATGTTAACGCTCGTGTGCAGACGAATAAAAAAAAATAATGGATTCAGATCGAATAAAAAAAAAATAATTGATTCAGATCGAGGCTGCGGAACGTCTCCGAATAATGGCAAACGCCCGCGCGATCGCTCGTACATGCGCTCGAAAATTTCCTACGCTTGCCCCAACGATTGGAACCAAAATATTAAAGCTCGTGTGCAATGTCTGAGACTGCAGACGAATAAATAAAAATAATTGATTTAGATCGAGGCTGCGGAACGTCTCCGAATAATGGCAAACGCCCGCGCGATCGCTCGTACATGCGCTCGAAAATTTCCTACGCTTGCCCCAGGGATTGGAACCAAAATATTAAAGCTCGTGTGCAATGTCTGAGACTACAGACGAATAAAAAAAAATAATTGATTCAGATCGAGGCTGCGGAACGTCTCCGAATAATGGCAAACGCCCGCGCGATCGCTCGTACATGCGCTCGAAAATTTCCTACGCTTGCCCCAGGGATTGGAACCAAAATGTTAAAGCTCGTGTGCAGTGTCTGAGACTGCAGACGAATAAAAAAAAATAATTGATTCAGATCGAGGCTGCAGAACGTCTCCGAATAATGGCAAACGCCCGCGCGATTGCTCGTACATGCGCTCGATAATTTCCTACGCTTGCCCAAGGGATTGGAACCAAAATGTTAAAGCTCGGGTGCAGTGTCTGAGACTGCAGACGAATAAAAAAAAATAATTGATTCAGATGGAGGCTGCGGAACGTCTCCGAATAATGGCAAACGCCCGCGCGATCGCTCGTACATGCGCTCGATAATTTCCTACGCTTGCCCAAGGGATTGGAACCAAAATGTTAAAGCTCGGGTGCAGTGTCTGAGACTGCAGACGAATAAAAAAAAATAATTGATTCAGATGGAGGCTGCGGAACGTCTCCGAATAATGGCAAACGCCCGCGCGATCGCTCGTACATGCGCTCGATAATTTCCTACGCTTGCCCAAGGGATTGGAACCAAAATGTTAAAGCTCGGGTGCAGTGTCTGAGACTGCAGACGAATAAAAAAAAATAATTGATTCAGATGGAGGCTGCGGAACGTCTCCGAATAATGGCAAACGCCCGCGCGATCGCTCGTACATGCGCTCGATAATTTCCTACGCTTGCCCAAGGGATTGGAACCAAAATGTTAAAGCTCGGGTGCAGTGTCTGAGACTGCAGACGAATAAAAAAAAATAATTGATTCAGATGGAGGCTGCGGAACGTCTCCGAATAATGGCAAACGCCCGCGCGATCGCTCGTACATGCGCTCGATAATTTCCTACGCTTGCCCAAGGGATTGGAACCAAAATGTTAAAGCTCGGGTGCAGTGTCTGAGACTGCAGACGAATAAAAAAAAATAATTGATTCAGATCGAGGCTGCGGAACGTCTCCGAATAATGGCAAACGCCCGCGCGATCGCTCGTACATGCGCTGGAAAATTTCCTACGCTTGCCCAAGGGAATGGAACCAAAATGTTAAAGCTCGTTTGCAGTGTCTGAGACTGCAGACGAATAAAAAAAAATAATTGATTCAGATCGAGGCTGCGGAACGTCTCCGAATA